ACCTTGATTATCTTATATGCTATGCTTAAAACAGGTTGGAAAGCACTTTAATGACCTTCATTGAACCAAAATGATAACTATAGCCGTTAGTACTCAAAATAGGTTCTTCTAGGCCATTACAGGCATTCTGGCCATGTCGAATCGGTTCAACCCTCTCCGAACCGGTTCAAGGGTGAACTTAGGTTCCAAAAGTGTGCTATTACCCTAGTTGAACTAGTTCAAGTGTCCTCGAACCGGTTCAAGTGTCCCAGAATTGATTAATCTTGGACATATTTTTAGTTTTGGATCCCCAACTTCGAATAGTCATAACTCTATTTTAAATCCAAATTAGGCCGTTCTTGAGTCTAAACTGACCGGCTCGAAGTCGTATTTCCAATGATATCAACCCCATCCTCAAATTCCTATCACACTGGGAGTTATCTTTATTTTAGTGAGATGGTGTTGGGAAAACCTTTAAACCGAGAAGGGGTATTTGTGGGAAATCATAACTAACTCCCTTAGAACCTTTTAGAATGTCATGGAATGAACCAAAATGGATTGTATACACCTCATTTGATATAATTAGGGTTAAATTATTTTTTCTTGATGTAAAATGACCATTTTACCCTTGTAGGACTACGGTTTCGGGTAAGGACCCGGTTAATGTTTCGGATCCATGGTTTTGGGTCGTTAGAATTTTAAATGTAGGACAACTACTTCCCACGTATACATACCTATTTAAACTTATCAAAACACCTTACGTTGGAACTAATTTCTCATTCACCCGGAAATGAATTTGAGAAAGTAAATATACCACGTTTATCTCCTTGTGGAAAGGAACGCGTTCGTCTATAGATCGCAAGAAATTCTTAGCGGAACCTACTCAAAATTTCGCCAAAACTTTATGTTTTGTATGCTTTATTTCCAACATATACTTGTTGAAAGAGCTTGATTATGGCATTTTTTTCCATAAGCATCTTATGTGTACCTTTCTGCAGAGACTACTTTTTAGTCAGAATTTTGCTTTTGTTTCTACCACCACGCCTCCTCTCTATCCCCTTTGTGATATACAATTCTGATTTGCAATTGCAATCTGAGGACTACAACCTAATTTGTGCTTTTCCATAGAGGAACAAGCTCTAAAAGAGAAAGAAGTGCTCTGGAAAGGATGCTTGAAGAAAACCGAAGGCAGGTGGAGAAGCTCAAGCAACGGAGAAGGAAACTGGAAGCCATGCACGATAACAAGAGGAGGCCATGCAAGGAAGAAGTAGCAAGGGGAGGAAGAATCGGCAAACCAGATGAAATTGTTGGGCAAGAACAATGCCCGGCCAAAATTGTCATTTGCTATTGGCTTAAAATGATTAATCATAAAGTGTAATACCCCTAATTTTAAAAGGATAGTCTCGGAAATTTATTTTATGGTTCTATTGTAATTTTTTTCATTTTTATGTGTTTATTTGGCTACTTGTTTATTTGTTTTAATGGTATTTAATTGAATTGAGTTAATTGTAGTATTTGTTTATTTAATTATTTAATTGAGTATTTTATCTTAATTATTTTTCTGGCTTAAATATATGTTACGTGGAAATTTGATTTAATTGTTTTATTGTTTTCTTTTGCATTATTTTGCTTTTAGGGTTTTAGTTTCTTCATGGTTAGCTGACTTAGTCTCTTCTTAAGATAGGGGAATTAGATTTTCCTTAAGCCTATAAATATGTCATTTGACATCGATTTAGGGTTAGAAATCACAAACCCTACTTACGTATAGACAGAGAGACGTAACAGTGAGAATTGTGAGGAAAACAGAGAGGGACTTGAGAGAAAACAGAGAGAATTGGTTAATGCTTCAACCGTGGATTAAAGGTCGGACCAGGATGTGACGGAAGGAGTGTTGTTCGTGGTTGGAACCAAGGGCAACAGAGGAGTCGGGAACAGTAGGAATCGCCGGAAACTTTAGGAAGACGACGCTGAGGTTTTGAACCGAAACCTCAAAGGCAAGTTCTATTCCTAACTCTCTCCCTTTGACTTGTGTTCTTTGCATCTCTAACACAATTCCAGGATTAAATAAAGATTAAAATTAAGCTAGTTTGCATGTCTGAGATGTTTAAACAGTATGCTTTACAAATCTGTCATTGCTTGTTTTAAATTCTTTCCTGCGCAATTCATAATTTAATTGATGTTAATTGATGGAAAAAGAATTTAATTAGTTCTAGAACACAATGGGAAACACTAGAATTAATCTGGTTTGCATGATAGAATAGATTAAAATAGTATATGTTCTTGAAACGGTAATTGTTGGTTTTAAGTCTTTTATGCTTAATTCTTGTGTTGATTGATGTCGGTTAATGAATGATGAATTTTAAAGTTTCTGGAACACACTGGGACTTAGAATTAACCAGTACGAACATTAACCATGGAAGACAGAGGGTCTGGAACACACCGGAGAAGGAATACAGAGGCTGAGAAGAGTGGAGCCTCTTTTACTTAAAATTGGAGCCCCTTTTACCCAAGTGGAACCTCCTCTACTTAAAATTGGAGCCCCTTCTACCCAAGTGGAGCCTCCTCTACTTTAAATTGGAGCCCCCTCAACCTTTTGTATTTGCCCAGTACGTGAAATATTAGGATTTTTGTTTCTCCAGGGCTAAAAGGAAATTCTGGACTTTGATGAGGGTTTTTAAATGAAGTATAAAACACATTAAAGACTTAAAATTATTGGTTTAAGCTTTGGAAGTGGACATCATGATTTTTTTTTGGTTATTAATAGGTGTGCTGTCAAGGATGGAGGAAGGTTTAAATTTTTTATTTTTTTTTAGTTCTGTTCTAGCAAACTAAATAGTTTGGTATGAAAATTAGTTTTTGGGAATTTATGACAATAATGCATATAACATATTTAAGTCCCAGGAACGTTGGTTTAGGATGTGGTTATAGATTTCATGAACTTTAGATATTAAATTGCATGCTGTCGGGAGTTGAAAAAGTTTTAGTTGCTAGTTCTAACTTAGCAAACTAAACGGACTGGTATGGAAGTATTTTTGGAATTCATATAATGTGCTCAGCTTATATTTTCTATGTACCATTATGTTATTCTCAGGATTTATAGTTAAAGATTGAAATTGATAACATGAAATTTAAATATGACTTTGCATGCTATCAAGGATATAGGAGGATTTATTTACTAGTTTTTGTTTTAGAAATTCAAACGAGCTCGTATGGAAGTATCGGTTGGGAATTCTAGTATAATGTGCAGTTTATGATTCTAATATTCATTATACCATGCTATGGACGTTAATTGGTGGACTGTATAAATTATGTTCTGTAAATTTTATGGAAGTGGATAGTTTAAATTGGATATCATTATTTTAGCAATTTAAGTGGATGTTTCATGATTTTAATCATGTATTGTATGCATAATAGAATCCTACTTATATTTGATTGCTATTATGTCGGACTCTGGATGTTTTTGATGTTCTAATGAATGTGCATCATTGATGGATGGATTGTATGCACCGGTATGGGACGATTTCATACTAGGGGGATTAGCTCAAGAACGCTAAGTCCTACCTACTCTGGAATTAAGGAATGGATTAACTAAAAGTTTAATCCTATTTTATTTGTAGTGTCAAGGCAACATATAGTTGAGCGGCACTACTATGGATTTTGGAATGAAATTTAATTATATTTTTATGGTGCCACGTTATGAGCCTGAGTCTCAGAGTCATTGGCTAGGGAGCGTATATGTATTGGGATGCATAGCTGGCTATGATGGTTGGATGTGTATCCTGCTAGGCCTATGTAGTCATGCCCACCTCAGGTGCGTTTTGCATGGTGCCTACTAGTCAGGTTGAGACGGGCCTGTAGTCCTGTGAGAGTCTTGTAGTGTGATTATATATATATCTACGAACTATTTAGTTATTGTTGAATTGGTTAGGATGAACATGCGTATCGAGTCTCTATCCGGATTGTAGTGGGATAGAACTTGTTTGTGGGTCTGACCCACTTCTATTTTTCAGGTGTTCGACAGTTCCAGTCGTAGACTTGATTGTGCTGAGCAGAGACTTTTACTCACTCTTCCGATGATGTAGGACTTCTCTCCATGGTTTAACTTTGGATGTTCTTTTAGTATTTGTATTTTGGTTTGGATTTTGATTAGGGGTCCACAAGAGATGGATTCCCGAGTTATATAAGATGGAGGATGATTTGTATTAGATGTTTTTGTTTATCAATAAAAAATTTTGGGTTATCGTTTTAGCTCTCTCAGCGTTTTATTTATTTCTGTTTTAACTTAATTGTATTCTGTGTTCATTTATTGCTAATTAGTTTGATATCCTCGGGTGATCGGGCGTGGGCCTGGCCAACCCGCATCCGGAGATCTGAGGGTATCACATAAAGTCCCGGTTGGGATTCTCTCACGTATATTTGAAGAAGCTAATTGTAGAAACATTTGATGGTACAATGCATGCCTTCAGTGTAAATTAGTTAAATCAAACCAGCATTATATATGTATATACATATATATAAAGGATATAACTCACATATTGAAACACACACTTCTTTATTGAATCATCAATAAAGATATTGCTCTTACAGAATGAACATTAAACATCCCAGAAGCAAACTAGCTAAGAGAAAAAGAAAAAGAAAAAGAAAAAGACAAACCCAACAAATAAGTTATTGCTCTAATTCTAAGCAGGTACACACTTGATTAACTTGTTGGATGCGATTGAAACTTGGAGGATCCTATTATTCCGAGAAACAGCAGTAGCATGTTGTCCTTGAACCTGAAACTGCTACAGTGAGTAATATATATATATATATATATATATATATATATATATTGATTAAGCTTATGCATGTAATTAAGGACGTCTATGCAAAAACTAAATACATTTCTGTGGTGTTATTTAATAATCAATGAACTCTGAATTTACCTTTAATTTTCCTAACGAGGAAAAAATGTTTGAATGAAAGTCAGAATCAGTGCGAAAGTTGCAGCAAAGAAAGCCACAGCAGACAAGGGATTGCTAAAATAGTTGAGTCGTCCAAGTCTTCATCTTGCTATTGTAATGCTCTTGTATTCTATCACTGACATCTTTAATAGGGCCGCTTAAAGAAACATATGCACCCCCTGCGGCCATGGAGTTGAATGTTCTTGCCACTTCTTCATCAGTGCCGTAGAAATTATGAATGACGTTATTTGTTCCCAGCTCAATCACGTCTTCAGCTCCATTTATGAGTGAATTCATGAAATAAACGTAGCTGCATACCCCAACATTACCGACTGTATGGGGAGCCAATTCATAGGCCATCATGTTTAGAAGGCGGTACTTGATTCTATAGCCCAATGAGATATGAGGAATTCTGAGCAATCTGTAGCCAAACCGAGAAGTGAAAGTGAAGTCGTTCAAAAAAGATGTGCTAGGCCTGAAATATATCCCCCTTGCTTTAAGCTCTGTGGCTGAACGAAACGAGTGTCTATAACCCTCCTTCACTGGGTTGCTCTCCCTGTGCTCCCTTTTGGGCGGGCAGGAAGAATATGGCTGGGGTTGGCCATCTTGGTGTACTTTGTCGCTGCTTCTAACTGCTGCTTTTTTTGTTGAAGAGTACTTGCCGAGAAATCTTCTCCTCATAAGGTCTAGCAAATGAAGGGGTTGTTCTACCTCATGCTTATATGTTTGTTTTGTCCACATTGTATGGACATCTATGTAATATTGGACAATGGAATTCTCGATCAATTCATCCCATTTGACTTCTGCGGAAATACCGGTACAGCTAATCAAGGCCTGGAGAACTAGGAAAGGAAGTTGGTTTTCCAGCAAAATGATGTCGGTAACTATCCCACGGTAATCAGCTCTACCGACAAACTTTAACAGTTCTTCTAAAAAGGTCACTTCTCCAACAGCGGTGACCGTATATATGAAGTGCAGGACAAAACAACCATCAAGGAGCATCATGCGAGCGAATGCAACGTCGTCATAGGCGTCTGTTGAGCCCTCGAGGTAGCAGCTCCTAGCATCGCTGACCACTTCTACCATCTTGTTATAGATTTCATGAAGCTCTCCATTGATGCCAGCTATGAATTCACTTACCGCTAGGTTCTTCAACTTCTCGGCTTCTTCAACTCCGGCTTGCCATGGTGATAGGGACCGATTGAAATGACTCTAGGATCAAAATATCCCTAATTGTCCTCTTTCTCCCGTAATTCTCGTGGAACCTTTGGTAGTTGCTTGCATGAAGAAGCAATGGGTCTCTCTTCAAGAATGGATATTATCCATTCATCATAAGGAGCTGTGATTTCAACACCCGATTCACGAACAGCTTCTTTTCCAGCCTCTGCCCAATTAATGATGCTCAACTCATCACCAATTTTTGCCCTTTTTTTTTTTGTTGCAGATCGCTCAATTAATTTCAAAATTATAGCAACAAATCAAAGAAGAGAAAACTTGATTAGCTAGAAAGACTTCTTTGTTGGAACATTTAGGAAAGTTAATTCTAAGACGACTTTAACAATTATATATTAATTATGATATATTTATTGACTTCGTTTAATTGACTTGTAGGAGTCTAATCCTATATTATATATAAACCACAAACAGATGTCCCACATGATATATAAAGTGTAAACACGTTGCATTCCGTTAATTATGCTGGCAATTTAAGTCCTTTGCTGTGCTGGCGGTATGATCGTTGTATGAGACCCCCTTGTTTTTTTTTGAGGGGAAGGTAAATGGTTGTATGAGACTTTTAATACACATAAGGAAATAGATAAATAAATAAAAGAAGACCCTGTTATATATGTGTATGGGGCCCACAATCTTTTATGTCATTATTGATGACATTCATTTGCGTGAATGGGAAGCTCAGCTATATGCTTACATTGAAAGCCTTACTTTGGCTTATAACAGAAGCCAAAAATCTGAGCCTATATAAGGCAATTTACATGTATTGCTTTTGTACAGAAAGACTTGAATATGCTCTCTCCATCTCTTCCGTGTTCTCTCCCTCTGTGTCTCTCCCTCTCTCTGAATCTTACTCTATATATATACATATATATATTCACAACAAATTATCAGCACGAGACTCTAACCAGCTAAGAAGAAAATTTTATTTTTCTTTCTCACTTCAAAGGGTAAGAAAAATAATTATTTTATTACACTGTTGTTGTTCAAACTTTATAGAGCATTATATTACACCGTTGTTGTTCAATCTTTACATATACATGTAATTAAGATTGTTGAGCCTGCAGTCTCGCAAATACTTATTTATTTATTTATATTATAATATTTTTGTCTATTCCTTATAGAAAATTAAATTGCTGAGCCCGAAGTCTTGCAAATACTAAATTATTTATATTTAATTTGCAAACTCGAAGCTTTGCATATATAAATATACTCTTTGTGAGCCTGAAGTTTCATGAATATTTGGTACTCTTTGCGCACCCGAAGTTTCGCAAAATTTGTTGGCCTAAAGTCCAAATGAATCTGAAATTCTTTGACCTGAAGTCATTTACACTGAGTACCCTTACAAACCTGAAGTTTTGCAAAAAACTACTTGTCATGAATCCTTGATGCCAAGATTCACTTGGATGCAATGAATCCCGGAGAGACAATTAAGGAAAACAATAATGCGTCCCTGCAGGACCGCGCGAAAACCATGATCTTTCTTCGTCATCACCTTCATGAGGAATTAAAAACAGAGTACCTCACGGTTAAGGATCCACTTACACTGTGGAAAAAATCTGAAAGAACAATATAATCATCAGAAAACTGTGATCCTTCCAAAAGCTCGCTATGACTGGATCCACCTGCGATTGCAGGATTTTACAAGTAATAATGAGCTTTTGATGCAAAACCACTAGTCCCGTCCCACTGGATCTGTACCATTCCCAGAAGTGAATGTGTCATCATTTCACGGCCATAGACGTGGACGTGGACGCGGACGTCGTGGTGGTCGTGGATATGGTCGCAATAGAAATAATTATAATAATCGTAGTGGTCAGAATTCCTCATTGGTTCCCAGAAGGAACTCTACACCGTCCCACCAGAAGTGGAATTCAAATGCGATTAAGCAGGGAAAAGAAAAAGCTTTGCAGAATAAAGCTCCTGAGATATATGATGACAAGCCTTGCTATAGATGTGGAATGAAAGGTCATTGGTCGCGTACCTGTCGTACGCCCAAACATCTAGTTGATCTTTACTGTGCCTCAATGAATGATAAAGGAAAAGGAAAGGAAATTGAAATGAATTTTATGGATGACGATTTGCCTATTGATATTACTCACCTTAATGTTTCTAACTTCTTTGCTGATCCTAGTGGTAGTATGGATCATTTGATTGGTGATGGAAATGTCCATACCAATTAATGTGTCATTCTCTAGCATGTTATCCCTCATGTGTTTTATCTTATCTGTACCAATATGTCTCTATCTAGGTTGTACTAGTATGTTTTTATTTTGACTATCTTACATGTAAATATAGTTTGTATTTCAAGTTTGAAGTAATGAAACATATATTTTGTATATGAAGAAGCATGAATCTGACTAAGGCATTGACTGTACCCAAGATAAATGGTGAAGATATATGTCTGGCAGACAGTGCAACAACACACACTATACTCCGAGATAGAAAATATTTTTCAAGTATAACATTAGTTGAAGCTCGTGCGAATACAATATCAGGTCCAACAGACCTAATTGAAGGCTCCGGAAGAGCTATAATTGTGTTACCATGTGGAACACAATTGAATATTGATGATGCTCTATACTCTACCAAATTCAAAAGAAATTTATTAAGTTTTAAAGATATACGTCTCAACGATTATCATATTGAGACGATAAATGAAGGGGGCGTTGAATATCTCTGTATTACATGCCAGAAGCATGTATTAGAAAAATTCCCTGCTTTATCTTCTGGGTTATATTATACAAATATAAGAGTAATTGAGTTACATGCAGTGACGCACCAGAAGTGCTCCGACCCAAATATTTTTATACTTTGACATAATCGCCTTGGTCATCCTGGGTCAACAATGATGCACCGAATCATTGAAAATTCATATGGTCATCCACTAAAGAACCAGAAGATTCTTTTAGTAAATGATTATCCTTGTACCACTTGTTCACAGGGTAAATTAATAGTCAGACCATCACCTTCCAAGATCGTCGTTGAATGCCTACCATTTTTACAACGAATTCAAGGGAATATATATGGACCAATTCATCCAGCATGTGGACCATTTCAGTATTTTATGGTCTTAATTGATGCATTAACACGGTAGTCACACGTAAGTTTACTTTTTACTCGTAATGTTGCATTTGCTCGACTCCTTGCTCAAATAATCAGATTACGAGCACAATTTCCGGATTATCCAATCCAGACTATCTGTCTTGATAATGCTGGAGAATTCATATCTCAATCATTTAATGACTCTTGCATGTCAATTGGCATTCTTATTGAACATCCTGTTACACATACTCATACTCAAAATGGTTTTGCAGAATCTTTTATCAAACGTCTTCAATTAATAGCTAGACCATTACTCATGAGAACTAAACTCTACCTATTTCTGCTTGGGGACATGCGATATTACATGCTGCATCACTAGTTCACATTAGACCAACTGCATATCATAGTTTTTCACCACTACAACTTGTGATTGGTCAACAACCAAGTATTTCTCACTTAAGAGTTTTTGGTTATGCTGTATATGTTCCCATTGCACCCCCACAATGCACCAAAATAGGTCCTCAACGACGACTTGGTATTTATGTAGGTTTTGATTCTCCATCTATTATTAGATATCTTGAACCTATGACAGGTGATGTTTTTAAGGCGCAGTTTGCTGACTGTCATTTCGATGAGTCTATTTTCCCTCCATTAGGGGGAGAAAAGAAAAAGCCAGAAGAGCAACGAGTTATTAATTGGAATGTCTCGACTTTATCTCATTTAGATTCTTGCACAAATCAAGGTGAACTAGAAGTTCAAAGAATCATTCATTTGCAAAGTATTGCAAATCAATTATCCGATGCATTTACTGACACAAAGAAAGTGATGAAATCACATATACAAGCTGCAAACATTCCAGCAAGAATTGATGTCCCTGTAGGATAGTCTGTCAGTGTTGTTGCAAATACATCTAAGACACGCTAGAAGCATGGTAGACCAGTCGGTGCAAAAGACACTGTTCCCCGGAAGAGGAAAGTACAAGAGAAATCAAATAAAGAAATTGGCGCTCCTGGAGAGGTCACACTTGCAAAAGAAATTGGCGCTCCTAAAGAGGTCACACTTGCAAAAGGAACAATGAAAATAATTGATCAATTTAAATTTTATAAGCAAGTAGCCCCAGAAGATATGCATGCCCCGGAAGTGGCACAAGCCCCTGAAGAGGCACTCGTACCTGAAAATAATAAGATCTCAATAAGCTATAGAGAATTATGGGATAGAAATACAGTTATTATTAACGATATATTCTCCTTTGCAGTTGCTCTTGATATTGCAGGTGCTAATGAGGACACTGAATCTCAAAACATCAAAGAGTGTCGATGTAGAAATGATTGGCCAAAATGGAAAGAAGCAATACAGGTAGAGCTAAACTCATTAGCAAAACGTGAAGTATTTGGACATGTAGTCCAGACACCTGAAGATGTCATGCCTGTAGGATACAAATGGGTATTTGTAAGGAAATATAATGAGAAGAATGAAATTGTAAGATACAAAGTCCGACTTGTAGCCCAAGGTTTCTCACAGAGACCTGGTATTGATTATGAGGAAACATACTCTCCTGTGATGGATGCAATCACATTTTGCTTCTTGATCAGTTTGACAGTTTTAGAAGCACTAGATATGCATCTAATGGATGTGGTTACAGCTTATTTATATGGATCACTAGATAGTGATATATATATATGAAAATCCCTGAAGGATTTAAAATGCCTAAAGCAAATAGCTTGAAACCACGTACCATGTATTCAATCAAGCTACAACGATCTTTGTACGGATTGAAACAATCTGGACGTATGTGGTACAATCGACTCAGC